CTCGCCAGCATTTGGTATCATTTGTTCTCTTGATCCTAGCCAGTTTGATTGGGATAAGGTGATACCTTAGGGTGGTTTTTAATTTGCATTTCCCTAATTACTAACCATGTTGAACACTTTTTGAGATGTTTCTTAGCCATCTTTATTTCTTCCTTTGCGAACTCTCTGTTTAGATCTTTAGCCCATCTTTTAATTGTGTCATTTGGTTTCTCGCTTCTTGTTTTTTAATTCTTTATATATTCTAAATGTGAAACATCTGTCAGATGTGTCACTGGCGAAGATTTTTTTTCCATTTCTGTGGGTTTTACCTTCAGTTTTCTCATTGTTTCTTTTAATGTACAGAAGCTTTTTAGTTTAATGATATCCCACTTGTTGATTCTTGAACTTGTTTCCTGGGCAGTTGATATCCGGTTTAGAAAATCCTTTCCTACACCTATATCTTGTAGGTTATTGCCAATATTTTCTTCTAACACTTTCAGAATTTCAAGCTTCTCATAGAGGTCTTTGATGTATTTGGAGTTGACTGTTGTGCAAGGTGAATGATAGGGGTTTAGTTTCATTCTTCTACAGATGGACATAGTGTTTTGCCAGCACCATTTGCTGAACATGCTGATTTACCTCAAGGGAATGTTCTTGGTGCCTTTGTCAAATACCAGGTGGCTGAAATTGCATGTATTCATATTTGGGTCTTTAATTTTGTTCCATTGATCTATGGGTCTATTTTTGTGTCAGTACTATGTTGTTTTTATGACTATAGCTCTGTAATACAGCTTAGAATGTGGTATAGTAATCCCCCTGTCATTGCTCTTAGTGCTCAGGGTTGCTTTGGCTATCTGAGGCCTTTTGTGTTTCCATATGAATATTAGGATGGTTTATTCCAATTCTGTGAAAAATGAAATGGGGATTTTGATTGGCATTGCATTGAATCTATAAATGGCTTTTGGTATGGTGGTCATTTTCACAATATTAATTCTTCCAATCTGTGAGCATGGGATGTTCTTCCATCTTCTGATGTCTTCCTCAATCTCTTTCTTGGTTTATTTATTTATTTATTTATTTATTTATTTATTTATTATTTATTATTTGCAGCTATTGTAAAGGGGAGTGTTTCCATGTAATCATTCTTTGATTGCTTGTTAATGGTGTATAGAAAGGCTACAGGCTTTTGTAGGTTAATTTAGAAACCTGCCACTTTACTGAACGTATTAAAAATTTCTAGGAGATTTCTGGTGGAATTTTTGGCATCTCTTAAATATAATACCATATCATCTGCAAAAAGGGATAATTTCATCTCCACTTTTCCAATTATTGCTCCTTTAATTTCCTGCTCTCGTCTTATTGCTGTTGTAAGAGTTTCAAGCACTGTGTTAAAGAAAAGTGGAGAAAATGGACAGCCTTGTCTGGTTCCTGTTTTCAATGATAATGCTTACAGTTTTTCTCCATGAGAATAATGTTGGCTGTGGGTTTGTTATATATAGCTTTAATTATGTTGAGGTATGTTCCCTCCAGTCCAATTCC